AATGGCGGAGAAAACAAACACAATTCAAATATAAAACAAATTTAAAATGGTTTGAAAGTTATTTGTGCTTTGAATTCGGCAGCGCTGCTTAATGGCTTTTTGATAAGATGAATGAAAAAAGTTACAAAAATGTATGTCATATAAGAAATATATATTTTTTCAATTGGAATTTCGTCATGTAATATACGTTTTTTTCACCAAAATATGGGAATGAAAACTTCATGCTATGTTAATTCCATTAGAAAACACCTACAGGTTCAGCGGCTCTTCTGGCGATCCTATCTATCGCAATACCTTGCCCTAAGGTATTTCAACATTTCCCTAAAATTTTCATAAACATTAATCAAAAATTTTCACACCTCCAGAGGCAGAGAGAGCCAGTGCCCAAACACACAGTCCTGATCAAAACAATCCTCCTCCGGGGTACACAGTTTTGTCTGCTGTTTTGTTGACATTTGCTGGTCATGAAAAGTCATTAAATATATTTCTCTAATTTATCTTTTTCGACTGCGGCAGCTCTTTCGTGGCATTAAAGTAAAGTTTTGGAGCGGAAATGTTTGTCTGGGCAGGCCAGTGTAGTGGGATGGGGGGTTTTCCCCGCCCCAGACTGTGGTTCAACCCTTTTTCCTTGCTCGCTAATTAAAACTAATCCAATGGCAAGGACCCGGAGCCCATTCAGAAGTGTTGGGTTGTACTTTTCGCATAACTGTCAATCAAGAGCCACAATTAAATGATTGAAGACTTTCGTAGACGTATATCCTTTGTTTTCTTCCTCAAGATGCTCCTTTCAAGTGGGGCGGGAGGTGGGCATTCGCTGGGATTGTTGTATCCAATAAAATATTTATACTCCTATCCGTTGGGTGCTCCCTTTTTTTGTAGTTTCGTATCTTGAGCTGGTTTAGTTCTGAATGCATATCAAGTGGAGAGACAACAACAGCAGCAGATACTCGTACAAAATATTTCCATGAGAAATTGACTTTTTTCCACAGCTCCATCGTCGTCTCCGTCTCCGTGTCCGTTCGCTGTCTGTGCTGTCTGTTGGCTGTTGTCTTCCTTTTGGCTGGAATGATTAATGGTTCTGCTCTTTGCGCATTCGTCCGGCCCACACCGACAATAAGATATATTCAGCAGCTACATATTTGTATCTGTTGTAGCTGTTGCTGTATCTGTATCTCGTTTTTGTGCTGCTGCTTCTGCTGCTGTTGCTGCTGAATGAATGAGAATTTCTACTGCAACGCGCATCAGCATTTGGAATTTCAGCTACTGACTTCTGACTGATGCCGCATCGGCATTGTCTTCTCTTAGACTTTTTTATTTGTTGATTATGCCACCCTTTTGATTGAATTCTGCAGCTACTTTTGCTGTAAGTCTTAAAGCTTTAATGAACCTCAAGCCTCATGCATGGACGAAGGGTAGCCAGAACGTTCCTAGGCAAGGAAAATGTTTCCCCCATTCCTCTGGCTAGACCAACACGAAAATTTACAAGATAAATTGAGGTCATTTTTTGCCACTGGCCAGCGCACCTTTGGTCAGGGCTTTGGGTCTGGGTCTGGGTCCGGATCTGTGTCCCACCTTGTTGACCGCTCTTGTCCTCTGACCGGCCACAAATGTCCTTAATGTGCATCCTTATGGACTGTGGTCATGTGCAAGTGGTCGAGCCCAAAAAATGGTTGAACAGGGCCCCATCCTCCTACCTTCCTACTTATGTATGTACTTCGTAGTTAGCGTTGACCAAATGGACACACGAGTGTACAACTCATTCTGGAAATTCCTTGGCATATGAGGGAAGAGGCACAGATGATTTAGTTGAAGAACCGGTGAGGGATATACACTGTGAGGAATAAAATGGGCAAACAAATAAGGCGTTAAGTAAGACTTTTAAAGGTCCCCTCTGCGGACCTCTTGAGTTTATATTGTAGGAATCGGAACAGGATTCTTTGGAAAATACTTGCAGTTCTCTGTGCTTGCAGATTTCGCGCTCTGTACTGATTATAATATTTCCTTTTTTTGTAGCAGCCATCTTGCCACTAGCAGCAACATTTGTGCAATTGTTGCAAAATTTACGCTCATTTTAATTTCCAGACCAAAGGTGCGGCAAATGCGTTGAATGTGCCCCGGCTTTTCGTTGGCCTTCTTTGTAGAGAGGTTTTTGTGGGTTTCCCCAAATAGAAACATAAATTTCCCAGTAGCAGCAGCAGCAGCAGAAGAAGGTCCTTGGTCCTTGGTCCTTGGGCGTAGGGGATGAACGGACAACGAGTGCGTTTAAGTGTTAACATGTAAACGATGCTGTTGAAGCAGTTAATAAGTGTATCCCTACCCCCAACCACCTCAAAAAGGGCTGTAAATCATGCAAAAGTGTTTCCTCTGCTGTCTGCCTGAATTTTGCTATTGAAATTAATTTTATTTCCAAGCACTACAGAGATTTACGAGCAAATAATAGCCAACTGATGATTTCTAATATTTAAGTTGAAGTGAAAATCCCAGAGTCCAGAGTCTGAGGGCCACAAAACCCAATCCAATCCCCAAAAGCTGCTGCAAAGTATTCTGTCCTATCCTCCTTCGTTTGTAGTTTTGCTGATAAGTTTCCATTTTGACTTTTCCGGCATTTCATCCATGCTGATGACATTTCCAATGTCTCTACGGCTAGGGCTACGGCTACGGCTGCCTGCCTGTGCTCCACTGCCTCTGCCTGCTCCTCCTGCTTCATCTCTGGGGCCATGACAAAACAAAATTCATTTTGTAATTTCCAAGCCACCTCTAGAAAAGCGAGAGAGAGCCAGGAACCAGAACCAGAGGCAGAGGCAGAACCAAAGGCAGCGACCAGGCCAGAGCAGGCAGCTGTCATTTGCTTTTTGGGAGTGTTGGTTGGGTGGCTGGGTGGTGCATTGGTTTCGCTGTTGATTCCATTTTGACCAGGCTGCAGAAATTGCACTCAACTTGGCTGCTGCCTAGAATCTTTCCCTCCCTCTATGTGTGGCACTTTCGAGAGGGGCTTGGGTTCGGGTTTGGGTTTTAGAAAATTATCTTTTTGCTTGTCGTCGCCAAAAAGGAAATCATATTTTCTGCTTTTGTGCACTTTACTTTTCAGTTTTCCCTCTGGCTGACTGCCGTTTTGGGCTCTGCCTGAGTGCCTGCCTGACTGCCTGCCTGCCTGCCTGCGCCTGGCCACCTCACTCGCTCGCTCGCTCGCTCGTAAACAGTTTTCGGCTGCAACTTTTGTGCGAAATTTATGCTTTCATTCCGTATCTATATCTCTGGGCACTTTTCGCACAAGTACGAGTACCCAAAGTACACGGTACTCGCACTCCCGCTCCACTCCACTCCCGCCTCCGGGCTTCGTTCTGGGGAAATGGCCTGGCCTCCCTCCCTCTCCTATCCTCTCCTCTCACCACGCTGTCAGTGTGTGTGCCCCACCAGGTGGTGTTTATGGCATCCGCTTTGCGAGTATTGATGAAGGAACCAACCAAACCGAACCCCGAGTGTTCGCTTCGCATCTGTAATTCAATCAGTGTCTATGTCTGGCTCCTGGCTCGTGGTCCTGCCTGCCCCACCCACCGACCCATCGCTGGCACCCACTGCTGCCATTTTCCGCTATTGAGACTCTGTTTACGCAGCTCGTTCAACTGGAAATTTGTGCTGTTGCCAAAAAAAAAAAACAGAAAACTCGCGAAAATACTTATAAGAAAAATATTTTGCAATCGCATCAATGCAAATAAGGTGTGGCGAATCTCAATGGAGAAGTGTGGGGTGTGGTTTAAAGTAAAGGAATCAAATGTTCAGTGTTTCCTAAAATGATATGCGCATTTCTTTACTACTCAATGCGACTTTTATTTGGGGGGGAATGGCACATTTATTTCAATTCGTTCAAGTAGAAATAACTTTTTCACGATCTTCCGTCATTCGAAATTGTGTGAAGTTAAGCAAGAGAAAAGTTTTGCAGAGATTTTATGTAAAGCAAAGTTAAGGGTGGAAAGGGGATCAAGGATTATGGTATCAAGTTATATATCAAGGTATTATGACAGTCAATACTCCTTAGCTTAGGGATAACAGCAACAGCATAGCATAATTTTCTGTATTTTAATTAGTATTTTTATTTCTTATTATTATAATATTTATTTAGTATTTTACAGTATTTTTTTTATTTCTATTTGTATTTTTAATATAATTAATTTTTTATCTCGGGTGAAATTTCTTAAGTATTACTGTGTGGTATTCATATTTAATTTTCTAGTATTCATCTGGTATTTCTCTTTTTAATAGTCACCCTGATCTCACGAATAAACCATATACTTATTGTCTCTCAGTACTACAACGATTTTGTTGTGGTTTCGCCTACTTTTGAGCGTAAAATTCCCATTGAAACAAGAGAAATTTGTAACGCAATGATTTTCCATCGATGTACAGCCAAAAATCTGAATATCATTCCGTGCAGCATTTCCCTCACTTCACACTTTATTCAAATGAAGTTCTCATCTCATTTGCCCTGCCGCCTGGAAGCGATGTTCCCATGCTGGTTACTGCCGCCTATCCATCCGCTGATTGCGGCTTCTGTTCGGTAGCCAAACTACTTGAGAGCCGCAGCGGCGGCGTCTCTGTGGCTATGTCTCTCCATCACCGATTGATTGATTAGATTTTTGTTAATTACTTAACGCTCTCGGTGCTCGGAGGTTTTTCCTGAGCTGCGAAACAGCAAAACTTACCGCCGCGGCATCAGCTGCAGTATTTTGATTTTGGGTGGAAGGTAGTGGTGGCGAATCTTTGGAAAAGTTGCTGCCATTTCTATTGAATTAGTTATGCTCGGTGACGAACTGATGGATTGATTACACAAAGAGATAGATAGAGAGATTGAGAGAGGGACTTTAAGTAAACTTATCGTACAGCAAATGCAAGAATGTGAAGGTACATGGTATATGGTTTGGCAACACCAAGCTGGACAGATAGAAAAATTCACATTCACTCTCCAAAGTCTCAAAGAACAAAATGCAATTTCTCAATTGCAGCTGAATTCGTTCCAGAAAATGGCCTGCCCCGACGCCTCCGCACCGCGTACACGAACACCCAGCTGCTGGAGCTGGAGAAGGAATTCCACTTCAATAAATATTTATGCCGCCCAAGGAGAATCGAGATAGCAGCCAGCCTGGACCTAACCGAGCGACAGGTGAGTCGCTCCGCACCGCTCCCCATTCTTGGCAGCTCTCTGCAGAATGTATTCCAATGTATTCCGCCAATCCAATTTTGTGCGCAGCAGCAGCTTGCACCTCTCTGAAGGAATTCCATTATTTCGCTGACAAATTGCATGCAGCGCAGGGTTGACAGGCGGTTACTGCCTTCTCTCATTCCTGTCTGGCTTCCTCTACTTTTTAATTGCACACCTTGACGCCTGGAGTGAAGTTGAACTAATCTAATTTTGGTGTGTGTGTTTTTGCAGGTAAAAGTTTGGTTTCAAAACCGCCGCATGAAACACAAGCGGCAAACGCTCTCAAAAACGGACGATGAGGACAATAAAGACAGCCTCAAAGGTGACGATGATCAATCCGACAGCAGTAAGTAACCCATATAAAACATATATATTTCCTGCCTTCCGAGCACCTCTGACATATATCCCTAAAGGATACACGAAACTGTACCGCACACTCTCAATCGAACTCTTCCTTTGGGATCATCGCGGTATCCAACCAACAAGTTGTTCCACTTTTACTTTTCCCTTTCCGCCTGTGGTTTTGCGTTGAGAGGCTTTTAAGGAGAAGAGTAAAAGATGCTGTAGCTTATCAATCATTGTCAGTGGTGCCACGGCTGCTAACCCCTTTCGCGTGAGAGTTTTCGGTCCTCCGCCCTCCAGCCTTCAAGCTTCACTTATGAAAACAAATCATCAATTTTCTGCTGCTAGTAGATGTGTATACTGATTCGCCTTTTGTTTTACCTTTAATGCCCAGACTCCAATTCGAAGAAATCGTGTCAAGGCTGCGAACTGCCCTCCGATGATATACCCGATTCGACGTCCAATTCCCGGGGACACAACAATAATACGCCGAGTGCCACCAACAATAATCCCAGTGCGGGCAGTCGTAAGTTTATTTTATAGCTCAAAAAATGTGTATCAAAACTCATAGCGAACATTTCTTTCCCTAAGTGACACCCAATTCCTCTTTGGAAACAGGCATCTCATCGAATCTGCTTGGCAGCACCACCGTATCCGCCTCGAATGTGATCAGTGCCGACTCCAGTGTGGCCTCCAGTGTCAGCCTGGACGAGGACATCGAGGAGAGCAGTCCCATTAAAGTCAAGAAGAAAGATGAGAGTCAGGTAAGGATTAGCCCATATTCGCCGCCTGAAAATCCTCATTAATATACAAATCTCTCTGCAGGTCATCAAAAAGGAGGCCGTGTCCACCTCATCGAAGGCATCGCCATTTGGCTATGAGAGCTCTACGCCGAGCTTGGTCAGCTTTCGGCGGGACTCGGATGCCGTCATCGCCTCCGCCAATCCTCCCCCAGCAAAGGGCAAGAAACGTTACCAGAATAATGCCAATGCTATTGCCACGCCCACACCCCTCACTGATAGTAATAGTGGTGGAAATGTTGGTGCCGGTGCTGGGGGTGGTGCCTCAGCTGGTGGCTATTTCCCTGGCTACTATCCTAGTCCCAAGCAGCAAATGCAACAGCAGCAACACCAACAGCAGCTGCACCCGCAACAGCAGCAGCATCACCTGCAACACCAGCAGCAATTGCAACAGCAACAGTTGCAATTGCAACAGCAGCAGCAGCAGCATGCCCTAACGTACAATGGCTATGAGAGCAGCTCCCCCGGCAGCTACTATCCCCAGCAGCAGGCTCAGCTGACGCCGCCACCCCAAGCGGTGGTAGGAGGAGCAGTGGGCCACCAGGTGCAACAGCAGCAGCCACAGCAGCACGAGCATCAGTTTTATTACAACTACAACGACACCAACGGCAGTGCGTACATGAACCACCAACAGCAGCAGCCACAGCCACAGGAGTTTTATTACAACTACAACGACACCAACGGCAGTGCGTACATGAACCACCAGCAACAGCAGCAGCAGAAACAACAGGCTCCAATTAATCACCAGCAGTAAGTACAGATTACTCTTTAAATTTAATTTGAAACTTTTCAATTGGGCATTGACGAGTTTTTACACCCGTACTCAAAAAGAGTTAAGGGGAAAATTAGATTTGTGGTAAAAGTGGATGTGTGCAACGCAGAAAAGGAAACGTTTCCGACCCCATAAAGTATAGTATAAAGTATATTCTTGATTATTATCAATAGCCGAGTCGATATAGCCATGTCCGTCCGTCCGTTTGTCCGTCTGTCCGTCTTGATGAGCGCCTAGATCTCAGAGACACACTGCCGCACTCTGCCGCTGCACATCTGCGCGAGCTCCCTCTAGCGGAGAAGATGTGGTACATGTAGAACTAGAGCAACAATATTTTTTTTTCCAGACCTATGTGATATCACACTGCTACAAGTGTATTTCAAAAATTTTCCCCGCCCCCTTCCGCCCACACAAAGGACGCAAGTCTGTGGCAGGTACAATTTTAAAGATACGATAAAACTAATCGCAGTATCGTAGAGAATGACCATATCTACCAGATTGCCGAAACTGAATCAGATCGGATCATAATTATAGCCAGAATGAAGAAATTAATTTTCAGTTGCTTTCCCCGCCTCCTACACCAAGGACCCGCTACTCATTATCTTTCTCGCTCGCACACTCTGCCGCGTTCAGTGCGCGAGCGCCCTCTAGCGGAGAAGATGTGGTACATGTAGAATCTACATGTTAGATGTAGAATATACATTGTAGATGTAGTTAACAGGTGCAGCAAAAAAATGTAATATGCAAATTGTTTTAAAATTCTACATAAATCATAAGCTCACAAATTTATATACTGACTGAGCGACTCACACGTTCCTTCACGTATTTTTTTTAATGTTAAATTAACACTAACATTGTAAAAGAAAGCTTTGGAAACACGCTGTTAGTCTTTGGCAACATGTTAAGTTGTTGGCAACATGCTATTTTATAAATTGGCAGCATGTTACGCGTTGGCAACATGTTTGTAATAAATTGGCAGCATTTTAAGTTGTTGGCAGCCCGTTATATCGTTGGCAGCACGCTGTTAGTACACTGGCAACATGTTATTTTATAGAGGGGGCTTCAGTGGGTTAAGATCTCAGTATTCTTGGTCACACTGCACACTGTAGTTTTGTTTCGTTGGCTCGCTTAAAAGCTTAAAGCTTAAAGCTTAAAGCTTGCAACATATTCCGCAAGAACCGTTTCAACTCGTTTGAATTAAAATTAAAATTGAAAAAAATTATCACGCATTTCCTCGATTTTCTCTTTACAGACACATGCATCACCTGGGCACTGGCGAGGCATACAGCGCTCTTGGCTTGCAGATGGAGAACTGCGATGGCTACAACAATTTCGGCGGTCCAGGCAGCGCTGGCGCTGGTTCTGCGGTTGCTGGTGTTGCCGGCTACTACGAGGCGGGTCAACAGCCCCCTGTACCGCCCACCCACACGCACACCCATCACCCCCACCATCACGTTCAGGTGCAGGCGCAGGCGCATGCCCATCTCCATGCCCACCACAATCCCGCAGCAGCAGCCCAAGTGGGCGTTGGAGTGGGTGTAGGAGTGGGAGTTGTTCCTCCACCACCGCCGCCATCGCATATCCATGGCTTTCCACTGAACGGAGGAGGAGGAGGAGGAGGAGGACCGGCCATCCAGGGTCAGGCTTTTGTCAGCGGTGTAGGCAGTGCCGGAGGAGCAGGAGCTGCTGCGATCAGTGGCCTGGAGAACTCGAACAGCTCCTCGGATTTCAATTTTCTGAGCAATCTGGCCAATGACTTTGCACCCGAGTACTACCAACTCAGTTAGTTCGTGTAGAGAGAGGCGCCTGTACAGTTCTAGCCTAATTGCCCACCCCCTCGTTTGCCTATTTGTATGTGTATGTGTGTGTGTTTCTCTTCGATGTTGTAGCCACATAGCACATATCTGTAAATACTATCCTCTAAGAATAACCCATAACGAGTTCTATTCCATCTGTATTTAGAATAAAATAAAACGAAATTTGGTACAGTTTGCTTTTGGCTACAAGTCAAATAGACAATTCAATTCCCACTTGGAAAACTCCGTTCAGACCTAAAAGAAAACCCCGGAAAACTGTAAATAGCTAGAAAAATTCAAACAACTAATAAAACAAATATTCAAACACCAGAAAACATCTCTCTTAAAACTAAGCAATTAAAATAATTTCTTACTTTTGTTTGTTGATTTTTGTAAATATTTAAAAGTAGCATAAATCAAAAGTTTGAAATCAAAATTTGAATCGCTCCCTCGATTCAAGTGCAATTTCTCTTTCAAGAAATATGATTCAGATTTATAAGGAACACCCTCAATTATTTCAATGTTTGTAATGTTTGTATGTTGCCTTTAAAATTCCTCCATAAAAATACACCATAACTAATTAAATAAAATATGGCTTAAAATATATCTTTGTAAGGAGAAAGAATAAAAACTAATTAAGATATGAATACAAATATGAAAACAGCAATTGAGTTCACATCTTGTGTCTGTTACAACTTCCTTAATCTTCCATTTAGGGTGCAGTAGCAATACATACAGACATCCACAGCCATTGACAACCGATGATGGATGGGGTGGAATGGTTGGCAATGGTTCGAAAGGGAACTTAAGGCCATATCCCGCTGCTTTTCAACATTTTGGGATTACGTATTACGTATTCCACTGGCAAACAATGGCTGAAACAAATCTCTTTTCAAAAAGGGGAAAAGAAATAGTTGAAGAAATTCCAAAACTAAACATGAAATTTTTACATCTCTCAGGGATAACTTTTAATACATTTTTTTAGCAGCAAGAAAAAATGTTGATTTGATTAAGGAAAGTGCCAAAAATTCATGGTTCATTTAAACAATTCACATGAGATGAGATGCAGGCAAACAGAAGAACAGAATAGAACAGAACATAGAGCATTTTCAACAGCTTTTTCCCTGGAGAGTGGCGAGCCTCCCTCCGACTCCGAGGCTCATTCGTCAACCAGCATTTTTGGGTTTTTGCCTGTCAACGTTTTGAAGGTAGATTCGGGTGGCAGAGAGAGAGAGAGAGAGAGAGAGTGTGTCTGGACCAGGCACCAGGAACAGGACTAAGCCACATGATGCACATGTCCCATGTCCCATATCCCAGTCCTCAGTCCTCCCATGTCGTCGACTACGCACAATTCTGACAGTGGCGGTGAAAATTTAAGATTGATCACCAGGGCCGAGTGTTTGCTGGAAATTGGTTGAGCTGTTTGGGTGTCCCTTGTCCCCCATGCCCCTGTCGATGTCCGTCCAATATCCGTATCCGTGTTCATGTCGAGTGCAGGCTAAAACCTAAATAATGTCACCAGAATTTCTGTCCCAAAGGACATGCATAGGGAGCTGCCCAACTGTCGACTGTCTGGCCAAATTAATTTAATTAACAGACCACTCCAGCACGATTCCATAGCACCGCTCTCTAAGGTCGCAACGAAACGAATTTGTATCGAAAATCATAAAAAATAATCACTTCAGTAGCCAACAGCTGGCCGTCAACAGTGCCGAAGCAGCAGCCGCAGCTACACCGTATCGTATCGCTGAAGATACAATTGTATCTATTGGACAACTGTTGAAAAAAAGATAAGTTGTGGAGCTTGTTAATTACAATTTAGTTTTGCTTAATTTCTGAAGGGAAACCCTCGGACTTAACTCGGTTTGGAATTTTGTTTTTATTAATCGACGCGGCGAATGCAATGTACAAACGGCTAAGCGCTGAAAATAGTTTATGGCCATTACAATTACAAATTCCATAGCCCGGTAACCGGGCTTAACCAGGCTAGGCTGCTGCTGCTGCTGTTGCTGTGTCTCAAATAATGCCAATTAAACTTGCACACCGAAAAACCAGTTCACTTACCATTTTACCATTTTTCTTAGACATTTTTTACCCTTTTTGATGTATTTTATTGTGCTTTATTTTTGGCAGTAGCACTGGTGGCACCTGTGTGCCGTAAAACCTTTAAAATCTGCTGACTGTACAGGGCACTCATATGGTAGCTCTGTCATAGTTATAGGCTGTGACTTGGGCCCTGTCTCTGACTCTGTCTCTGACTCTGGCCTGACCTTGATATACATACAATTATTGTTAGCATTGCGGCCTTTCTTGTAGGGCAATCATAACGAAATGTTTTCATGCATTTGGTTCAGCGATTTCTTTGATCCAAACCCAAAGAAAAGTAAAAGTCCAAAAGGGACCCAAAAGTGTCTTGCGGACACGTTCAAACAAAATCCCAATAAATCCTTTGATCCCGAAAAAAGCAACACTCTCTTTTAGATTTTTTTGTTTTTTACTTTTTTTGGTAGCCTATTGTTGTCTTTTGTTTATTGTTTACACCTAAACTTAAACACAAATGTGAATTTTGTCCAAAGTTCCGAAACGCCGTTTGGTGGGGTGTTGCTTGCTGGATGGATGGATGGTTGTATGGATGGATGGATGGATGGGTGTGGTGCGACCTTCCAACGATTCAATGTTTCGTGATGAGGGCCAAAAAGGTGTGCGGGCGCCAGTGTGCTAGCTAGCTCCGTTTAGATTCTGGCCTAATGATCATCCTAGAATTGTTTTTTTTTGTGTGTATTAGATTGGGCGATGGATTTGCTGGAAGTGGCACAGACTGGACCAAAATCGAAAGGATTTTCCTGGCATTATTTTGAGTACGCCGCTGGCTGACATCGAAGAGATAGGGGAAATCTGTAAGCACTCAAATGTTAATTCCTTTATAATTGTTCTTAATTGCAGGGATTACCTCTAGACGTCTGCCATTTGATGGACTGGGCGCAAACTGCATCCAAAAGTACGTTATCCAAAAGGTAAGTTTTTGCTGGTCCCGGCTACACCCCAAAGGCGCGATCGCAAGCTGCTCCTGTGCCCAACCTCTTGGACTCAACACAAAACACTGAATGAGCTTCCAGAACGGAGAGGTGCACTATTTATACGACAGCCTCTGGACAGAGTGAGAGAGAGGGAGGGCCGAAAGCCAGTTTTACCCCCTGCTTGAGGTTCGACGATCCTTAAACTCACTTCATCGGTTTTTGTTTTTTTTCTTGCTTTCGTCTCGATTCGTCTCTCATCTCATCTCTCCTCTCCTTTTGTTTTTTTTTTTTCAGAGCTTGTGCTTTCTGTTTTTGTTCGGCTGCATTGTCAGTTCTCATTGTTGTTGCTCCAAGATAATGATGATGATGAAGTTGAGAAGGGTTCGGCCGCTATCGATGAAGAGTCCAGCCATTCAGCACCCAAAAATCTGAAAATCTTCCACTTGATTAGTCAGTTAAATCGCATTGGCAAAAGGGGTTAAGTGAGCAGTTGGCTAGCTGAGTTTGGAGAACTTTCAACCTTGGATCGCCCCTCTAGAATTCAGAATTGTTCTTCAACAGCAGCAGGCAGCAGCAGCAGGTGTTCCACATAGACCAGACCAGTCCCACATAAATTCCTATCCAACTGTGGGAAGCTAGCGGAAGCAGAACAGAACAGAACTGAGCCCTTAAAACTTCAGCTAGAACTCCAAAGAGCGAAACTGAAACTGAAACAGAAACTAAATCGAAAGTCTCCATGAAATCGCATTTATCATTCATGCAAGTAAAGTCATGACCCCATAATTTCCGTTTTATATTACAAACAACAGATAAAAGCGAGAAGGGATTCTTCTTCTGTGAATTGCGGTAGAGGAGTCCGAGTTTGAGTCCTTCGTCCATTCAAATGGAAATCTGCAAGACAAAGCAAACGAATCTGTGTCTGCCCCTTCAGACAAAACAGACAGAGAGGAACGGGGCCTAGGGTTAGGGATCGGCATCGGGATCGTTCAGCGGAATGATCAAGCAGGCCAAAGCAGTTCGTTGCCCTCGAGCGAGCATCGCATCGCATCCTTAAAGGACCGCGCAAAACAAAAGTCCCGGCGAGACACTGGACTGCAGCAGCAGCACCACAGGAATTGCATCGCTCTACGCGTAAGATTGCAGCAGCAGCAGCAGCGGCAGCAATCCTTTTTTTTTAGTCGAGTCCTATGATGTCTGTGAACTTTTTCCGTTGTCCGACACAAACAAGTTATGAAAAAAAACGAACAGCAAATAAATAAAACAGCCAAACAGGATAATGTGAACGACCTTTGAGGGGTCCTCTACAGACAGGCAATTCCACGGACTCCGAGAGAAATACTCTGCTCAAGAAGGAGAGTTATTAAAATGGAACTTGTGGAATGTAAATTGAGAGAAAGAATACTCATATGTGGACTTCGAATGGCAGTGGCTTTAGTTAGAGTTAGAACTCAATATTCATTAGCCGAAAAGTGAATTCTGCCAAGAACAATTCTCTTAATTCATAGGAAGAATATCTGCTTGAGGGAAATCTTTAAGTGGGAAAGAAAACACTCCTTTTATGTATCTTTCATGATTTGTATGTCGTATGCATTTTGTTTATTGGTGCTGTCAATAAATAAATGTAGGATCAGTAATATAATAAAGCCAACAATTCTATGTACAACTCAGAGGCATGTCCTACGATGGTCCTAGTGGTGGTAGCTAACGGCGGGGGCAGCGTACGTGGAGTAGTGGGCAGCGGGCGCAGAGTATGTCACAGCTGGGGCGGCATGAGCGTAGTGGGCAACGGGAGCGGGGGCAGCATAAGAGGTATACTGGGCAGCGGGAGCGGCATAGTGGGCCACGGGAGCGGGGGCAGCATACGATGTGTACTGAGCAGGAGCAGCGTAGTGAGCCACGGGAGACACAGTCTTGACGATAGCGGGAGCAGCATAGGACTGGTAGGCGGGAGCCACAGTCTTCACGACAGCGGGAGCGGCGTAGTGGGTGGGGGCAGCATAGTGGGCCACGGGAGCGGCAATGGTCTTCACAACGGGAGCAACAGCGACGGCCTTGACGAGGGGCTCACGATTGACGACGGCATTGAATCCATTGATGGGATCGGCAGTGTAGGACACAGTGCGCTTGTAGCCGTCGGCATCGATCAGGGAGTACTCTCCGCGGACGACATCTCCGTCGCGCTCCTCCACCTGTCCCTTGTTGTCGCCGGTCAGCTTGTCATCGACTCCGTAGGAGAAACGGTACTGGGGATGGGGATCGTATTCCTCGGCAGCCTTCACCACCACCTTCTGGGCCACAGCCACGGGAGCGGCATGGGCATAGGTGGCCACCGCTGGACCGGCGTGGTAGACCTGGGGAACGGCGTATCCGGCGCTGGCAACGGCCACGAAGGCAAGGGCGAAAACAAACTGCAAGTAGGAGAGTCGTAAGGGAAGGTGTAAGGTGTGAGGTAATCCATCGATCTGTGGGGGTGGGAGGCGGAGAGCACTTACCTTGAATGCCATTTCGGGAGGTGTGCGGTGGCTTTACTGTCTCTGGTTGGGTTCTTTACAGAAGTGAACTTGAGCTGCGAATGATACTTTTCTGGAAACAGACGTCAACTTTTATAGTAAATCAACTTTGCAGCTCTGCTCCGGATCTGCCACGATCTCTGATCTGATCTGCGCTGCTTTGTGCTGCTTGGCTCTGCTCTGCCTGCGAGTGAGCGTTTTATGTTCGCGGTGACAGCGAGAAATCTATTTAATGTTTCTCAGCTTTGAATGTACGTAAATTGCGGGGCAATAACTCGTACTTCCTGTTCGTGTGGCGCTAAGCTCTGTGGGTGTGCAAAATGCGAATGTTTTTGATTTGGTTTGATTTGGCTTGGTTCTTTTTTTTTGGCCAAAATATTCTGAAAACGAACAGCCCGAAGAGTGAGAGAAAGGTTATTGAAAAGGCTTGGCTCTAATTATGCTTAACTTTCGATTGCTAGCAAATTCATTGAACCAATCTCCTAATGCAGATCCGTTTTCAACGCCAAGCAAATGTCTGTGATCGTTCACACTTCTTTCAGCAGATATTCAATGCTATTCCTCCAGTTGTTTCATTCTTCTATCAGCGGATATTTACTCCTACATTTTTGAGAGCAGCTTAAGCTCTGTTAATCCTCTTGAGCGCTGAATGTGTCGTAAAACCCTGTAGATTGATTTTGATTATGATTATGATTAAGGTCTAGGCATATTATATAAGACTGGAGCAGAAAACATGTCCAGCTTCTTAGGGCAATATTTATCAAGGTTATTGAACTTCAGCTAGGGGATTAAAATGGTTTCCGTTATGGGTAGGGAATCAGACTCCATGGCAGCTTTTTACAGTGAAATTATTTACTAGAAAATAGTTCCACATTGGAGAGAGATTTCTGAGCATATTTTCCATTAAATGGAAGTCTGTTGGTCATCTTTCCTGGCAGAAATACTTAGCATATATTTTATGCATTTAGCATTAATCGAATTGAAGATCCTTCTTATATTTCCATTGCTTATATCTCAGCACCTCATTCCGATTACATCACACACTTATCAGCAATTTCGCACAATCAGAGCTCAACGAAGGCCACCCAACAACAGACCACTGCCGCAGCACCACATGTCGACGGTTCTCAAGTCCTCATCTCAGGCAAAGATCTGCGATAAATCCCCATTGCTATTAGTGGACGCAATCATCTCGCGCAGCCACCAATTTGTACGTGGGCAACTGGCAGAAGGGAAATCCCGAATCCTTTCTAAATAATTATGGCCATTGCACTTGGCCCGTCCCTCGACAATCGCCTCGACTCTCCACCTCTGCCACCACGACCTGCGTAAGCGTCTGCGTCAGCGTCTGCGTCAACGGCAGCACAGCAGTGACTGAGCGCTAATGTGGAGCATGATATGCAGAAGGCCACACGACGCTTAAGCACCTGCGTACAGCGCGGATCTGGTCGCCGAGGAAAGTGCATACGAGTGGCTATAAATACGCTGGCCAGGCCAGAAGCCATATCATTCAGCCCTCAGTCTCCCTTCAGCACAGAACCAACCCACAAACCCCAAAACCAAACCAAAATGGCATTCAAGGTGAGTTCTCCTCATGGCAGAGCGCTCCGGCAAACGATCTAATGAATCCCTCCGTTCCAGTTCGTCTTCGCCCTTGCCTTCGTGGCCGTTGCCAGCGCCGGATACGCCGTTCCCCAGGTATACCACGCCGGTCCAGCGGTGGCCACCTATGCCCATGCCGCTCCCGTGGCTGTGGCCCAGAAGGTGGTGGTGAAGGCTGCCGAGGAATACGATCCCCATCCCCAGTACCGTTTCTCCTACGGAGTCGATGACAAGCTGACCGGCGACAACAAGGGACAGGTGGAGGAGCGCGACGGAGATGTCGTCCGCGGAGAGTACTCCCTGATCGATGCCGATGGCTACAAGCGCACTGTGTCCTACACTGCCGATCCCATCAACGGATTCAACGCCGTCGTCAACCGCGTGCCCCTGGAGCATGTCAAGACTGTGGTGAAGACCGTCGCCGCTCCCGTGGCCCACTATGCTGCTCCCGCTGTCGCCCACTACGCCGCCCCCGCCGTGGTCAAGACCGTTGCTCCGGCCTACCACACCTATGCCGCCCCAGCTGTCGTCAAGACCGTTGCTCCCGTGGCTCACTATGCCGCTCCCAGCCACTACGCCGCTCCCGCTGCCACCTACACCTCGTATGCCACCCCCGCTGTCGCCTACCACCACTAAGTTCCATCCCAGCCATCCCCCATACCCCCACCCATGCCCTTCTTTGTTATAGTTATACGAATGCCCCCTAAAAATACACAAATATTTTCCACATAAAGAGAGTCTTTTCCTGTGCAACGACATCCGCCTCAAAGGATATATTCAGCCCTAGGCACAGGTCTGATTGGTCCGATTGGAGCTGGCAATTAAGTTCGGTTCATTAGGGCTCCACTCCACTCCATTCCATTGCCAATTAATTTGGCTGCGACATTGAAATTCCGAGCTCCAGTGGGGTTTCTTTTTCTTTCAATTATTCCATTTATCCGTTTGCTACACCCGCAACGACTTCGATTCGATTTGGCTCTGGCAATCGACCAATCGACCAATCCTATCAGCAATCAATAAATCAAAACAAATTCAGATCTGCGAGGCACATTCATACCAGTATGTCACGGATATCTGTAGCTCTGGTATATTCTCTTGTATTCTGTGGCAGGTCAGAGCACGTGGTCAGCAGCTTCCGGTTAGTGCTTAAACAATTCTCCAATTGTATCTAACGGATACACCGCTAGTGCCGGCTTTTCCAGCGTCAAGTTCAATTCCAATTCCAGTTCATGTTTCTATCATGACGTGGTGGCTTCAGTGGCTCAGCAACTGGTTTGACTCGCGACTCAGACACACGTCAGACAAGATCGAGTCTCGTATCTCGAATAGTTCTGATAATCTCATTTGTCGATTGTTGTTGGCCCACACCAATAAGAAGTAACAAATTCATTAATTAAAACATTGTATTTGAAAGTGAAATACATGAACTAAAATTAAAACGAGAAGGAACGTGTGAGTCGCTTCTGGGGACGCGACTCTACTTATACCCGTACTCAGTCAGTATATACATTTTTGTGCTTATGATTTTTAAGAATTTTAGAAAAAAAAAATTTTACATTTTACATTTTTTTTACTACATATGATATCTACATCTACATATACAATGTATATTCTACATCTAACATGTAGATTTTACATGTTCCAATTAGATTCTACATCTCCTCCGCTAGCGGTTGCTCGCGCACTGAACGCGGCAGAATGTGCGAGCGAGAAGGAAAATGAGATGCGTTGCCGGTGGCGGGAGGGGGAGGGGAAGCAACTGAAAATTAATTTCGTCATTCTGGCTATAATTATGATCCGATCTGATTCAGATTCAGCAATCTAGTAGATATGGGCATTCTCTACTATACTGCGTTTTTTGTTTTATCGTATCTTTAAAACTGTGCCTGCCACAGATTTTCGTCCTTTGTGTGGGCGGAAGGGGGCGGGGCGAAATTTTGAAATACACTTGTAGCAGTGTGATATCACATGAGTCTGGAAACCAAATTTGGTTTCTCTAGCTCTTATAGTCTCTGAGATCCAGGCGCTCATCGAGACGGACAGACGGACAGACGGACGGACGGACGGACGGACGGACGGACAGACAGACATGGCTATAACGACTCGGCTATTGATGCTGATCAAGAATATATATACTTTATGGGGTCGGAAAATTTTCCTTCTCTGCGTTACACACATCCACTTTTACCACAAATCTAATATACCCCTTAACTCTTTTTTGAGTACGGGTATAACTAAAAGTAAAGTGAACTGAAAGCGAAATTAAAACGGACACAGAAGCGGCCTTAAGGGGTCATTGATTCTTGGATAGATTCTGTAGATTGGAATTACTTTATCAGATGCCTACACCACCAAGAAATAGTTTCAATTGATTCATTAACTCAAAGATATTTCTCCAAGTTGCCATTCTTTAGATACTTCTTTTGATTAATCTTCTACGAGTAGTTATGAGCTTCCAATAAAATTCTTTAGCTTCCGAGCGAAGGCGGAATATTTTATTACATCATTTGGCAGAGAGTTGAGTCACTTTCCCACTGCCACTTTGACCATGATTGTGCACTTATCTATGCCGCAGTAATAGCTGTAATGGCAAGAGAGAAAAGCTTCAGTCCGAAAGCTTTGATTTTACTTGGGCATGGGTATTGATATGGGTATGGGTATGGGTAAGGTGACCATAGACCATACCACTTTTGTGGGTCATTCGCCAAAGGGGAGGCTAGAGTAGGAGATGGAGGTGTGTCTCTCATATGTATGTGCGTGTGTATGTGTATGTGTGTGTCAAGTGCATTGCTGGGGCATCGATCAAAGTGGGATTTATTGGGTTACTTACATGACTAGAGAGCACCGCAGCAGCCCCACAGCACCGTCCCCGATCCAAGTCCCCGACCCTGATCCCCAAGCAAGTTGCTCGCCTAAGTCTTTTGTTTGTAACGGGCCTTTGTTGTTGCTCTTGGCGTTTTGTCCGCTTATTCGTCTCTCCTTCTCTCCGTCTCAGTGCTCGCCTGTTCGCCTGATCGCTTGATCGCCTGTCCGCCTGTCCGTTCGTGTGTCCGTCCGTTTGCTTCATTCATAACAATAGCAAAATGGGTGTGACTCGTGGGTGCAAATCATTGGGCGGAAGAGCGAAGGAGAGGCAGACATGCAAATGAATTGAGATTGAAGTGATTTCTGTAAGCCAAAAAAACGTGAAAAAGTGAAAGAAAGGCCAGAAGAGACAATGGCCAAATGATGAGGTCTCGCTGCCCGGCTCCACACGAATATTTCGTCTATAAATACAAATGCAGCGACGAATGGATTATTATTCAAGGCACACACTCCACAGAAGGAGGACAAAGTTTCGCTTCTTTTGCCCAAATAACCTTAAACACTCGCAAAATGGCATTCAAGGTGAGTCTTGTGGCTGATGTAACCCACCGCTCTCGGGGCTTGGTAACAGCACTCCATTAATCCCGCACAATACTCGTTTCTAATCATGTTCCTGCCCGCAGTTGGTTGCACTCGTCGCCTGCTGCCTGGCAGCCGCCTCCGCTGGTATCATTCAACTGGAGCATCACGAGCAGCAGCAGCAGCCACAGCATGTCCTCTATCAGGCTCAGCCGCAGTACCAGCACCAGCACCAGCCGCAGCCACAGCATGTGCTCTACCAGAAGGCACATGATATCCATGCCCAAGGACACGAGGTCTACCCGGATGATCCCCATCCCAAGTACAACTTCGCCTACGATGTGCAGGACGCCCTCTCGGGCGATTCCAAGAGCCAGTCGGAGTCCCGCGACGGGGATGTGGTCCAGGGCGAGTACTCGCTGGACGATGCCGATGGTTTCCGTCGCACGGTGAAGTACACCGCCGACTCTGTCAACGGATTCAATGCCGTCGTCCACCGCGAGCCACTGGCCCATGTGCACCACAAGGTGGTGGCTGCTCCAGCTGCTGTCCAGTACCATCATGCCCCGACTGCTGTGATCAAGACGCCCGTGACTTATGCTGCTCCGGCACCCGCTTATGTGGCACCCACCTCCACCTATGCTGCTCCAGCGTACACCGCGCCCGCTTACACTGCTCCCGCCTACACCTCTCACTATGAGCAGCAACAGCAGCAGCAACAGCAGCAGCAGCATCAGGAGCAGGAGCACCAGCATAACTATGCCACCTACGAGACTCCAGCCCCTGCCCATGAGGCTCATGACTACTACCATCACCAGTAGGAGCAGATCCTACCCCTAGAGATCTGACAAGCGAAGTATTATCTATCCAGCATCCATTCCATTCCGATCTATCATTTACCACATTAATTTAGTTCTGTTGATTAGTTATATATATTATTGTACATATTTTGAATAAACTTTGATCAATGCCTACAAATTAATAGTTCTCCATTATTATATTAGAAGGTTGAAAGCGTATAAATATTAGCGATATAATGTCCAAAGTACGCTTTGAATTATCTTAAATATTTGTTGGATTTATGACTTTGAATTACTGCGGATTACTTACAGATAAATTCAGTATTTATTCGGGCTACTCAAGGCTATGAAAATATATCGCCAGACATATCTAATCCCTAAACAACAAACATGACTTGTAAAATTATGCACAGATTAGGCACATTCCATTGGAATACAAAGATCTTCTTAAGTAATCCAACCAAATCCACCAAATCACACAAATTTTGTATACAAACATATTCCCAATGATATGTGATATGTGGCGTAATGTGAGAACAATTGGCATTAATTTAATGAAGTGTGAAATTTACATATTAAGCACTAAGCACCACGACAGTGTTTCCCGATTGGTCATGATTCAATGCGAATTATTTTGTAGCCCGCTGCAGCAGCTCCACATTCGAAGACCGGTTTTTGGTGGGGTCTTGCTGGGGTCTGCTTTGCCAAAATATCCGGTAGCAACAATAGCACTTTTTGCAATTTTAATGTCGCACACAAATTGAATGTCAAATTACTTGTGGCATACCATACGATACGCGTACGGTATTGGCTCTGATATCAGTTTCGGTTTCGGCTTCGGCATTGGTTGGGGCCAAGCAAAGTCCGGCCAACTACGAGTATGACTCTGACTCGATCTTGAGGTATGTCCAATTGCAAGACAAGACATAATTTGCTCCACATTCCCACACAAAGGTCTAACGCAACCACATTAGCGGCCAAATGCCGGTTCGCCCTCGATGCTCTCGGCCTTTCGCTCCTCATTGTGTGGCTTTAGCTTTGGCTGTGGCTGTGGCTGTGGCGTTGGCAATGCGAGTGTGGATCGAGCGGCACTTGGGGTAATAATAATGGACAGCCTCGACAGCCATGCCCTGGCCACTGGCTATGGATTATGTCTTAAATTAAACTATAAATATTGTAGAATACAATTCGAGTTATACATTTTAAAGCAGGATATTTATTTCCAGCGAAACAAACAAAAGACTTAGACAAGGAACTCTGCCTGGAAGTAAGTCAGGTAAGGCATAGAAAAAATCCAAGCATTGCACTTGACACACAGATGCGCACACAGAGCCAGAGGCATAGATTTATTTATAGACAGACACACCTCCAACTCCTACTCTCTCCACCCCCGTGCCGAATGAATGATCCACAAAAGTTGTGCCCATACCCAGTCCAAAGTAAAGCCAAAGCTTTCGGGCTGAAGCTTTTCTCTCTTTGCATTACAGCCATTACTGTGGCATAGATAAGTGTACAATCATGGTCAAAGTGGCAGTAGGAAAGTGACTCAACTATCTGCCAAGTGATGTAATGAAATATTCCGCATTCGCTGGGCAACGACGAAATAAATGCCTGGTACGCTCATTTCTAGCAGAATATTTACACTTAAATCATTTAATTTTTAATCTATTTTATTTAAAATTCTTCAGGATGAGAGCGGACACAAAGGGATGGGTGGCGAAAGCGTCAATCGGCGGGCATTCAGCTCTACTTCAAGTTCTTATTCTTATTCTTGACCGCCCCAATGTACAGAACCGACCAAGACTTGTCGGAAATCTCGTACTCCATGGGACGCAGAGGTATGCTAATGAATTGATCGAATTTTAATCAGAATTACTTATATTTCGTACTCATATATGTATATGTCCCCACCTGATCTCCGAGTTGAACAGCCGCTGACGATGCTGCTGGTGCTGCTGTGGAATACAAACGAGCTTCGGTGCGGACCTCAGTTGTAGGGCAAAGTCGCTGTCCGTGGAGCGGAGCAGGTTGCCGTCGCTTGCACCCTTTTTGCTGGACTTGGAGGGCATCATAATCCCGCAAGTTTCTGTCTTTTAACCGAAATAATTTTTATATATCTATTGAATATGGAAAACAATTTCTATCCTGCTGAACAATTTTTTTAAAATGATTGTACTGTGTAAGGAAACATCCGACTAAAATGGCCAGGCTATGTGATGCATCTGATTGTGGGAAATTTTGAATACCACTCAGATTGTCAAGGCATCTTTGATATTTCAATCTACACAATTTATCCAAGAATCAATGACCCCTTAAGGCCGCTTCTATGTTCGTTTCAATTTCGCTTTCAGTTCACCTTACTTTTAGTTCATGTATTTCACTTTCAAATGCAATGCTTTAATTAACGAATTTGTTACTTCTTATTGGTGTGGGCCACCAAATAATCAACAAATGAGATTATCAGAACTATTCGAGATACGAGACTCGATCTTGTCTGACGCGCGTCTGACCGCGAGTCAAACCAGTTGCTGAGCCACTGAAGCCACCACGTCATGATAGAAACATGAACTGGAATTGGAATTGGAATTGAACTTGACGCTGGAAAAGCCGGCACTAGCGGTGTATCCGTTAGATACAATTGGAGAATTGTTTAAGCACTAACCGGAAGCTGCTGACCACGTGCTCTGACCTGCCACAGAATACAAGAGAATATACCAGAGCTACAGACATCCGTGACATACTTGTATGAATGTGCCTCGCAGATCTGAATTTGTTTTGATTTATTGATTGCTGATAGGATTGGTCGATTGCCAGAGCCAAATCGAATCGAAGTCGTTGCGGGTGTAGCAAACGGATAAATGGAATAATTGAAAGAAAAAGAAACCCCACTGGAGCTCGGAATTTCAATGTCGCAGCCAAATTAATTGGCAATGGAATGGAGTGGAGTGGAGCCCTAATGAACCGAACTTAATTGCCAGCTCCAATCGGACCAATCAGACCTGTGCCTAGGGCTGAATATATCCTTTAAGGCGGATGTCGTTGCACAGGAAAAGACTCTCTTTATGTGGAAAATATTTGTGTATTTTTAGGGGGCATTCGTATAACTATAACAAAGAAGGGTATGGGTGGGGGTATGGGGGATGGCTGGGATGGAACTTAGTGGTGGTAGGCGACAGCGGGGGTGGCATACGAGGTGTAGGTGGCAGCGGGAGCGGCGTAGTGGCTGGGAGCGGCATAGTGAGCCACGGGAGCAACGGTCTTGACGACAGCTGGGGCGGCATAGGTGTGGTAGGCCGGAGCAACGGTCTTGACCACAGCGGGGGCGGCGTAGTGGGCAACAGCGGGAGCAGCATAGTGGGCAACAGCGGGAGCGGCGACGGTCTTCACCACAGTCTTGACATGCTCCAGGGGCACGCGGTTGACGACGGCGTTGAATCCGTTGATGGGGTCGGCGGTGTACTGGACGATGCGCTTGTAGCCATCGGCATCGATCAGGGAGTACTCTCCGCGGACGACATCTCCGTCGCGCTCCTCCACCTGGCTCTTGGAGTCGCCGGAGAGCGAGTCCTGGACATCGTAGGCGTACTTGTACTGGGGATGGGGGTCGTATTCCTCTGCGGCCTTGGCCAGCACGGGCTGGGCAATTGTCTTGACGACTGCGGGGGCGGCATAGGTGGCCACGGCAGGTGCAGCGTGGTAGACCTGGGCGGCGGGCAGAAGGCCGGCGTTGGCAGCGGCGATCAGAGCGAAGAGGGCGATGAACTGGAAGCAGGGAATTCTGAGTTAGGATCTTGGATCTTTGGTGTGGTTTTCTCTCTCAGGCGTACCTTGAATGCCATTTTGATTAGTTTGGTTTTGGGGTTTGTGCTGCGGTTGCTGCTGCTGCTGCTGTTGGTTGCTGTGAGGCGAAGAGTGGACTGTGAGGGCTACTGGGCCAGCAGTCCGCTTTTATACGTATATGGAGCAACTTCTGGTAACGGCTGGCAATGGCCACGCTCTCTGCGTAATTAGTGCAATTCATTTATGCTAAACGTGGACGGAGAGCAGGCCAAGGGGGAGGGAAACTGTAACATTGAAATCGTGCTCTATTGTACGCAGATATCTTTGTGTGCTGTCATCAAAATAAATTCAATTTATCCAAGAGATACGCGTATGCACAGGTATATCTGTGACTCCGAAACCAGTTTGCTGTGCTGCTAATGAAAAAGTTAAGGGGGCAGGCTGGGAGTGCATTAAAAAGGCATCCCCAGTGCAGGCAGTTGGGCGATAGAAGTTGCAATGGCAAAATAATATAAAATAAGATAATTTAGATCCATTTTTATAATACAGTGGCTTGAATTTGATCAAATTTTAGACAGGGTAGGAATAAATATTAAATAGCGAATTTGTCGTGGGATTTATAAAATCTTAAAAATGATTTTTGATAAGGCTAATTACATACAAATGTATATTGGGACTTGGTTTTAAATTCTTTATTTTTATTTTTTAAATTTATTTATTTATTTCATATTTTTAGTTTATTTACCTATATATTTATTTTTTATATTCATATTCTTGTTCTTATATTCTTCATAAGGTCCATAGGTTCATAGTTCTAATTTCAGTCTTCCCCTTCGTCTTTCAGAAGCTACAATTTGTTTTGGCAAACACCAATTAAAATTGAATTTGTGTAATCAATAAAATGCAGCTTGGTTTTTTAATTAATAGGTCTGCCATTTTAAGCAGAACCGAAGAAGAGTGGAAGAGTGGTGCGTGACAATTTTTACAAGCCCCCAGTGCCAGTCCCCAGTGCCCGACCCAGAGGCAGGTGGCATTCGAGGCGCCGCGACCGAGGTGAGGGCACCACCGCCAAATAATGAATTCCAATTAGGTGTCATCAATGTCATTGGATCGCATATAAAATCCGATGGCCCGCATTGGGTCAGACATTCAGTGTTTGGCTTTAGCCCAAGACAGTAAATCCAACCAAAAAATCCATTCCGAAATGGCCTGCAAGGTGCGTGTGGATAAACCGAGGATTCTCACAGGATTATCAGTGTACTAAATTCTCCTCTTCTGTCCCATGCAGATCGTGATCGCTTTGGCTCTGTTCGCCGTGGCAGCCCAGGCTGCCGTTCTGAGGACCGTTGCACCTGTGGCAGTGGCTCCGGCACCCGTCCTGGCCAAGACCGTCGAGTTGGAGGAGGTGGATCTTCATCCGCAGTACTCCTACAGCTACGATGTGCAGGACTCACTTTCCGGCGACAACAAGGGACATGTGGAGGAGCGTGACGGAGACCTGGTCCGCGGCGAGTACTCCCTGATCGATGCTGATGGTTTCAGGCGCACTGTCACCTACACCGCCGATTCAATCAATGGATTCAATGCCGTCGTCCGTCGTGAGCCCATCGTTGCCGTGGAAGCTGAGCCTTTGATCAAGGCTGCTCCTGTTGCTGTGGCAGCTCCGCTTGTCCGCTCTGCTCCTGTTGCTGTGGCAGCTCCGCTTGTCCGCTCTGCTCCTTTGGCCGTGGCTGCTCCTGTCGTTCGCTCTGCTCCTCTTGCAGTTGCTTCCCCCATTGTCCGTTCAGCTCCATTGGCGCTTTCCTCTCCCTTTGTCCGATCTGCACCTCTGGCTGTGGCTGCCCCAGCACCCATCCTGCGCAGCGCTGCCTATGCCACGCCTTTGAGGTACACAGCCCCCACCTATACCATTGCCAACTTGTAAAATCTGTATCTGGAATGGATGTGTAGACCCATCTTTTGTTTCTGTTAATGAATATAAATTGTGATTGTTATGTTAACTTAAATGGTTTTATTTGGGGGCTTAATCTGGGGCTCTTATGGGGGAATACTCTAAGAAGATTCTCTGCTTTTATTTTATTTCTCTTAAGCATATTTTAAGTTTCGAATTCTGTCTGGAATTCTACTGTCAACTGTTGGGAAGTCTCTTGCCTAGGTCAGTTCCATATTGAAATAGCCTTTCGGACACTTCTCTTTTGTCTCTTTAAGGTCGCTCTCTCTCTCTCTCTCCCTCTCAGCCCAATCTACAGATCAATCGGGCAACACAATATCGCACTCAAGGCAGAATAGTGAAAGTGTTCGAAATCCGCTGAGAGTTTCGCCTATGACACTAAGCCCCACACAGGCACCACATTTGCATGCGCCTCATTATATTGCATAAATACATTTTATATTTTTATTTTTATATATTTTTCGCATTGCGTGGGCCGTTGTAGTTGCCCCGTTTCCAGTCAGTAAATTAATAAGTTAAATAATAATAAAAATACACACACACAAAAATGATATCAAAAGTGACAAAACTGATTTTTTGGCCAACAGCAAAATTAATCAATTTCAATTCGCTTTTTTCGGAGTTTCGCACTTTTTTGGGAGGTATAAAAAGCAGTGCACGCCGGGCAGTAAATCATTCCACAGCTTCTCTGTCTTCGACACAGTTAACGGATACCCCCACTTAACCCACTCCAAGCCACCCAAATTTAGAGCCATGGCCTTCAAGGTGAGTTATCCTGGCAGTAAATTATTTTTTTTACTTTATTAAATGTCTTCATCCTTCTTCCAGTTCTTCGCTGTTCTTGCCCTCGTGGCTGCCGTTAGTGCTGGTGTTGTGCCCGTCCAGCAGGTGTATCATGCCGCCCCAGCCCCTGCTGTGGCCTATGCCCATGCTCCTGTGGCCGTGGCCCATGCCCAGCCCGTGCTGGCCAAGCACGACGATGAGTACGATCCCCATCCCCAGTACAAGTTCGCCTACGATGTGCAGGACGCCCTCTCCGGTGACTCCAAGAGCCAGGTGGAGGAGCGCGACGGTGATGTGGTCCATGGCGAGTACTCGCTCAACGACTCCGATGGCTACCGTCGCATTGTCCAGTACACCTCGGATCCCATCAACGGATTCAATGCCGTCGTCAACCGCGTGCCCCTGGAGCATGTCAAGACTGTGGTGAAGTCAGTGGCTCCTGTGGCCGTTGCCGCTGCCTACCATCACTAAGGCTTATGGCTCTCATTCCTCTCCTCTCATTCCCTTAACGAAATGTTTTAGATGAATAAATTGTTGAATATTTGTAAGCTCAGTAAATGGAAAGTGTTTTTTAAATGGCAGCTGACATGGGAAACTAATGAAAATACAAAGGGAATTTGCTAATATTCGAATAGCCAAAGGGAACCTTCCCTTAATCCCTCCCAGAAGAACCTCAGGTCCAATAATAATTTAGCATTACCTTGGGCTCTTCCTTAGAGGCCTCTTGAGCACATATATTTTGTAATCAATTTTCTGGTAATCAATTTTCGGTAATAACTCATTAAGAGCCGCGTAAAAATTGAACAGGCGTTGGATCTCGTTGGTCCGACCCCTTTTTACACCAATCAACGAAAATTGAGGCAGACATCCGAACGGAAAGAAACGCATTGGAACATTTCAATAACACAAAACCATCTGCGTTCGAAGGCTTATTGAATTTTAATGCATGTAATGCGTCTCTTGGCTTGAATGTGCATTCAATGCGCGCAGCAAAAAAAAACCAGTTAAGGTCAGATCGGGGCTTTGGCCTGGTCCGAACCTTTCGCCAAGTCTGCGCCTGAGACTTGTGTTCGACTCGGCTTGAGAATGATTTACGTGACATTATTGGGCTTAAATTGTTTCCTTTATCTTTAAGTGGCTACCAGATAGCAGGCGGCGGCAGACTTTCGAACGTGGGCAAGTGCAAATATGCCAAGGCAGAGGGCCACGCCAGGCCAGGCCAGGCCAGACACTGCCACAGCCACATGACTGTCACACAAGTGGACAGGGGACACCAAACCATGGACAACGGACAGCAGTCAACGGACAGTGGACAGCAGCGTACATCGAGCCATGGACAGCAAAGGTTAAGGTCAAAGTCAATTTTCATTGTTAATTACCGTTGGAGTGAGCAGAAACGGACCCGTTGCCAGTTCCAGTTCGTGGCGCTGCGTTCCCATGCTTAGCATGTAAGTACACAAGCCCACAGAGATCCACAGTAGTCACAACAACAAGCCCAGCCGGAGCTTCAAAGATCCACAGTAGCCGTCCAAACCGAACCTGAACCCGACCAGTGTGGAAGCTCTCGTAATGGCAGTGCGCATGCGCAACGTCTCGCATCGAGCGAGGCCCATAAACGTTTACCAGACGAATTACAACAATGCTCGTGTCGCATTAAACAGACCCCCTCTCCCCCACCGATCACTGCGCTTAAGCTCCGCTCACACTAGGCTCCCATTGAACCCATACAAAATATTAATTTCGCCTGGGATTTCCCCCAACGTTCAAAAACTGAACTTGACAACAATTTAGTGGCCACTCGAATTTAAATTATTTGCTTAGTGTAAACGCTTCTTGTCTTGTCGCGACATTTTCTGCGTTCTTGGACGTGTTGGACTCCGCTTTGTGTTGGCCATTTACGTTGACATTATTCATTGTTTCACTTTTGTGGACTGAAAGTGTTATTTTGTCAGTTTATGTCGTGGAGTGGAGTGGAGCGTTCTTTCTCTTGGACAGGTGACCTTGAAGTACGCCTGGTAGTTGTAGAGAGTGAAAGTGAGTTTTCGGTTGCTTTTGAGTGAGCTTTTAAGTACTTTTAGTGGGACAAAGCAGAGAGTAAGATGATTATTTGTTGAAAGGAAAGGAAGGCAATAATAACAGAAGCAAGAGAGAACATTAAAAAGAATGACAAAACAATTTGGAGAATATTTGAAGAGTTTGTAGAAACTAAAAAGATAATAACCCATATATAGGTCGCTTCCTGTTAGGGAATGAAAATACTCGGAATGCATGCAGCATTGAGGATTTTCAAATGCTCTTTCTACTAGATTTGTGACAAATATTTCTAAATTTTCCATGCAAAATCAGTACTGTTTAAAATAACTTTCCTGATGCATTTTACTTGAAGATCAAAGGATATTTTGCGTTTATTTACCAGAAATTATCTTGTTATTAATTCAAAGGAATCCAACCTGTTTTAGGACCTTCAAACGTTAATCCCTAAAAGATTCTGACGATCCGAATTTCAACTGAAGAATATTTTCATCGCTAAGGCAATGAGTGTTAAATTGAGTATTTCACCGCCCAAAAATAAATCATATTTTGTAAGTTTTGCATTCATTCAGATCACATCCATTTATTCAGTAACAACTAACGGCAATTATCGGGTCGTGGCGCCTATTCGGGGGCACTTCAATAGGCGTACGAGATAAGAGGCGAAGCGTACTGGGTCTTGACGAAGGATGGTCCGGCGGCGACCAGAGGAGCGGCCTTGACGATGGGTGCTGGGGCAGCGGCATAAGTCAGAGGAGCTGGGGCATAGGCTGGAGAATAGGCTGGGGCAGCAGCATAAGCAAGCGGAGCTGGGGCAGCAGCATAGGCAGCGGTACGGACAGCAACTGGAGCAGCAGCCACAACGGGAGCGGCACGGACAACTGGAGCTGGGGCGGCAACAACAGCAGCAGGAGCAGCGGCAACAGCGGCCACCAGGGGCTCACGACGAACGACGGCATTGAATCCATTGATAGGATCGGCGGTGTAGTCCACAATGCGACGGTAGCCATCGGCGTCGTTGAGCGAGTACTGGCCCTGGACAACATCGCCGTCGCGGCTTTCCACCTGGGTCTTGGAGTCGCCGGAGATGGCATCCTTCACGTCATATCCGTAGGTGTACTGGGGATGGGGATCGTACTCCTCCACCTGGGCGACGGCGGCCAAGGGAGCGGTAGCCGGAATGAGGCCAGCGCTGGCCACGGCGATGCAGGCGGCGATGAGGACCACGAACTGGAATTAAGACATTTTCACAATTTAATACACTTTTTCGTTCACTTGATATCACACAGGCGTTTAGTCCTTGCAGGGGAGCTGAGGACGGGGTTGAGGTTAGAGCCTTACTTTGAATGCCATTTTTTGTTTGTTTTGTTTGGGGGGTGTTGCTCTAGATACCGTAATTGGTTTTGAACTGATTTGAACAGCGTCCAACTGTGGCTTATATACCGATTGGATGGCAACCTGCCCGATGACGGGCGTGCACTTGCGTCACAAAACAATGCCAACCATATCAAAATGCGAGACGCTCAAGACTAGAAGCCAGTGGGGATCGGGTTTTCGGGTAGTACGGTGGCACTGGACGGTGCACACGATGGGCGATGGCGGCTCAGCCAAGGCTGATCGGTGGCGATCGGTGACGATCGGTGACGATCGGTGACAAAAGGCCCCCAGAGCCAGCCGCAGTTCAGCATAATGCCTTCTTGATTGGATTGGATTGGACTTGAGCGGCTACAAATTAATATTGGCCCCAGAAGTCGCATGCCCAAACGTGTGTGCACTCCACTCCAGCTACAGCTTTGGATCGATCATCATGATGATGACGATCATTCGCTTTCGAAAAGTGCTCGCTCGTTCGCACTATTATTATTATTATTGAGGATATATCGTATGCAGCGCATGCGCAAATGCATAACAACGGTTTTTCAAATCGTCTCTGCACTTGCAGCCCCCCAACCCATGCCCATTAACCATTATATGGCTTCCCCTTCGCCCCTCCCCATCCATTCTACAGTTAGCGACCTTAAACGTTTATTTGTTGAGTCGCTCCAGTTGAACGTTAATGGGATTTCAAGCGTATGTTGATTGTGGCCAACTGTGGCACTTCCGAATGCCCAACCAAACAAAGAAAAATCAATGCTGACAATTACTCAGGTATTTCTGTTGGATATTCTTTTTGGATTGGAAATGGTGGGGGATTAATATTGTTGGGGAAGTCCTCTGATTATATGCTTTTTGGATTGGACATGGCAAGAAGTTGATTATTTCCTAGCCATAATGAAACTTATTCGGGGGAAGTTCACACTTGGGAGACCGTTTAAATATTTATAAACATTTTGCAATTATCTCACAGAAATAGTTGCTGAATTCTGAAGAAATTCCTTTATTAAAATGGGCTTTCAAGCCATTCGAAATTTATTTAAATGAAAATCTTTCAGAAATCTTTCAGAAAATCTTTCAGTTGCCACAGAACTTCCAACTGAAACATCGCTTAGATGCCAAAGAAGAGTCATGTAGAATTATAAAGAAACGACTTTCAACACTTTATTCAAATTAAAACTTCAGCAAACAAAAAATATTAAATCTAGAAAACATAAGAAATGTGCTGAGGATGCGCTGCATGCAACGAGTTTCTCAGCACGGGTACATGATGCGAGATAATGGCCTGCGATGGGGCTGCATGGTGCACCACGTGATGAGTAACGGGCGCATGGTGGATAACCGTTGAGGCCGGGGCAAAGGATCGATGGACCACAGCCGAGGCCTGAGAGTGGGGCTTCAGGACGGGCAACTTTTTCAGTGGCTGCAACTTGATGGGAGCCGCGGGCCTTGCCACCACGGCAGCGGCACCGGAGAGTGGCTCACGGCGGACCACAGCATTGAAACCACTCTCGGCATCGACGCTGTACTCCACAATGCGACGATAGCCATCCGCATCGTTGACAGAGTACTGACCACGCACCACATCGCCATCACGAGACTCCGACTGGGACTTGACATCGCCGGTTTCGCCATCCTGGACATCATAGTTGAAGGCGTACTGTGGATGGGCATCGAAGGTGTCCTCGCTGCCGACTGATTTCACGGGCAGAAGACCTGCCTGGGCCACGGCAACAAAGGCCACAAATAATGCAATCTGTTGGGGGATCGATTGGTTAGTAAACCTCAATGAATACTGCTGCACATCGATGCTTACTTTGTTCAACATAATTGGGAGAGATATTTCGGGAAGATGATTTAGGTTTGTTCCTGTCGATCGCTGACTTTACACAAATTAATTTCGCTGCGGTCAGCAGCTTTTATACCACGCTGGATGCTCATTGACCCAATGCCACACTGCCCTGCTTCTGGAGGGGCAGGCAGTCGCCTGGACCTGTTACCGTTCTGTGCTCTGCTCTCTACAATGTGGCAAGGTCACCGCAAGGAGAGACCTCCAGTCTCTCGCCTAATTGGAGTCGAAATGCGACAACAAGTTTATCAGACAATCGACAGGTTTCGCAGACCGTTTTCAGCTGCTTTCCGCTGTAGGCCCTTCCATAATTTCGCGTTAATACTCGACAGCAATTCTGAATTATCATATCTGCGCTTCCTTGAAACGGACAAGAGATGGATGGTTGGACCCCAGAGTGCTCCATTAATTATAAAAAAAAGCAATCAGATTTGATAATATTATCAAATTTTGTACTTTGAAGACAAAGTACCCGTCCTTCCGCCCTTAAAGTGCTAAAGGAATAGCATCTGTAAAGAATCCTTTTTGAAGAATATTTGATGTTAATATTTTATCCTGGCATTTATTAAGAATCAGGAATATTTGTACAAGGTAGTCAATAATTTGGAAGTAACATACTCCCGCCCCAAATGTCAATGCTACATAAATACTACATGCATTATTCTACATCAATTTGATAGCAGCAGCTAAAAGTATGCTTCACTTTTTGCCCCATCTTTAATTGGATGATTTTCATTGGTTCAAACATTCATTGATTTTCATTGGTTAAAAAGCGAATATATTTTATTTGTTCCAATTTAAAATTGAATAAAACATATAAAAGCCAGGGTTGGACTGACTACGCCCAAGCACACACCTTGCGCGCAATTTAAATTTATTAGCCCAAATTATTTATTCTCCATCATGCAGAATGCCTTTTTGGTTTGCCATTTTGCCGTCGGAAACTACGCCCAAAAGCAATTCGCCCATTGTGCTGACTGGCCAAAGGTGCTGCCGAAATATGCTCAAAATAATTGAGTAGAAGCAAAACATCGATACGTACATATAATGCTCAACATACCCAGCAACATACAATATCCCATCCCCTGCCTCGACCAGCAGCTACTGAGCTCAGCAGCCCCACTTCAGGTAAGGAATATATAAACATATTCTTTTGAATTTTAATAATACAAGTATCTGTATCCAAACAACGCCAGAAAAAAAATAAAAGGTTAAGCATTGCTGCCATTTGCCGATGATATCGCCTCCTCCACCACCGTCACGCAGATGTTGTGGCAGCACAGCTAGTTGTCCCGCTCCCACCATATCTGAATCAAAAATGAAAGATTGTTTGCGCGGGATTTAAGTTAATGCCGCCTGGCTTTATCTTTGGCGAAGGGAGGTTTTTGCATAATTCTGCATGTTAAACGGCCAAGGTCGTAGACGGGTGTCCACTGGCAATGTTTACATATCCTCAAATTACACGCGAGATTAAAGTAGAACATGTTTGAGAGGGTGGAATGGGTCGATTTCTGTATGTAAAGAATATTTTCTAATACTGTCTAGAATTGCGACAGAAAGAAATGCCCTTCAGGGCATGTCATTGATTTTTGGAAAGAATTAAAGTGTGTGAATTAGAAGGTATGAAAACTGTAGAGCTGTAGAGATATTTCAATACTCTATCCTCAAAAACTCAGTTTAAAAATGGATCATAAATATCTTTACATGGCTGCCCAAGTAGAATAAAATATGCAAAATGTTTTATTCCCGAATAGAGGTAGATAGGGGTATAGTCAAATGTTATATGTATGTTTTTCCAAGATTTTAAATCTATATATTAGAATAAAATCCAAACCTTATGAAAGTAGATGGGTTTTTTTTTATTCTTTCTATTCATTTGAAGGATAACTATAAATTTCAAAAAAACCATTTTCTTCATTTAATTAAATTTCCCAACTGCTGACTCGTCTGCTAGTAGCCCCAGCTCTGCCTGGCTTAGGGCGAGGGAATCCCTAAAAACTCCAAAACAATTTGGGGCGCCGACAGGTGAGTGGATCAATCAACAAGAAGAGCTGCCAGAAAATGGGGATTTAGGACTCCACATTGGCCACAAAGGGACATGTGATGAATTCGCTCTCTAATTGTCGACGCACACAGGTGGAAGCCAGGGGGCGGGAAGCTTAAAATCCTATTAATAAACGTAATGAGCACGCCTGGGCCAATTACATATTCAATTAGGGAACTGGAAGAACCTCTGCCTGCCTGCCTGCTGGGCGGACAACTCTTAGGACAACTCTTGGCCGGCTCCGTGCAACAGGCATCAGGCGTCGGCTGTCCTCTGTCGCCTTCGTCTGTCGCCATCGCCATCGCCATTGCCGTCGCTGTTTCAGTCGCAGCTGATAAGTACATTCAATTAATTAATCATTACAGAGCCAAAGAACAAAAGACAAAATTCAAAAGCTGCACAAGACTGAACAAAAAATGGCACAAATATCGATTTACCCAAAAAAAATATTACAAAGAGAAACCCAAAAAATACCGCCAAGTTTTGTTCTTGGAGCGGTTGACAGTCGGCGCCGGGCAATCCATCAATTTGTGCAGCGCCAATTACGCCAGTTACTCGTCACGTCACGTCTCAGTCCCCGGGACGGACACCACTCGGACAGCGGACAACGGACAGCAGACGACAGACAGATACGAGCTGGGCTGGGCTGCCGTGTGGAGACACTAGACACGAGCTTTGTAACAAGAATCGACATGAACGACGGCAGTTGAAGTTTTTTTTTCTGGTTCTGTAACTGTAACAGCGGCGCCCCATCAACCTGGCGTCAGTTTTTGGTTTTTACTGGACACTTGCAACCGGGTTTGACGCCTCCAGAGGCCGTCATCTAGCCCATATATCTTCCGACTTCCGACGGAAAGCCGTTCATGGCGCTAAAAAACCATTAATGGCGCGACTAACAAATCCCATGAAATTCCTAATTGGAAATGCATTAAAGAACCACTTGACTAGGCATGTGCACTCAAAATTTAACACTCAATAATGAGGAAAATGAACAAAGACAAAGGGATTAAGTATAAATTGATTTAACGCACTTTCGTTAGATGATCTATGAGGCGTATACTTAATTTTCGTTTCATTTCTAGCGCTATGAAATCTATGATTTTAAGGCAAACAGCTATGTATCTAAACTACCAGAAACGTATTTTATTTCTCAGAAAAGCAGTTCAAATATGACTCACGCACTAAATATAAAAATATATATTAAATTAAATAAACACTTCTATTTACTTTTAGCCGATAAGAGTACACAACAAATCAGAATTAATAGTCAATTTAATCCAAATAGATTTGATAAGATATTACCAACATTGGTTAGGAGAACATGAAGAAAGTTTCTTGGGAAATTCTATGCTTTTATTGGACCTCAAAAAGACACTAAGAGTGTTTCTAACCCTGTAAAGTATATTATGTTCAAGGATGAATATAATTTCAAAGAAATACTGCTGCATTTGGAGATCTTTCCTTGCCGCAGAAAATCACCAAAGCCGTTCCTCAAATCATATAGCTATGTAGATTTTAGTTTCATTTAGACGACTGCGCCATCGTTGTCCGTTGGTTAATATTTCTGTTTGAATTCCCTTCATATCCCGAACCATTTTCCATTTATTCAACAACTTCGTTTATGAAACCAAACAGTTCTGTTCATTCCCAAAAAGCAAAGATAAAATATATCCCAAATGGAAGACTCAAACTATTCCGCAAACTGTCGAGCACCAACCCCAGGCCCTAACACGGATATCTCCCCAGTAGATTGGTGCTGTGCTGGCTGTTGTCCGTTTGGGCCATGTGGGACAGTTTCAGTTTTGGGATTGGTACTGCGATTGGGTCGAGGTAAGTGGTGTGTATGTAGAAAGACACTCACACACATCCTGTTACTATTAATTGCTGCTGTCCGAAAAATATAACGAATCACCTTGGAGCGTTTGGGCCGAAACAGCCAAAAAAGGACGAAGGGAATGCCACTGAGACTGGAGTTGGCATGGCCAACACTCCACAGTCCTTCCCCCTTGCAACTGCTGCCAGTGTAGAGACAAAAACTTGTGAAAATGTCAATCAACTTGTACAAAACAAAACAAAAAAAGAGGAAAAAAAAAACCAATCCAAAAAAAAAAGGAAACAACAAAGTTTTCCTCCAGACAGCCAAAGATGATGCATTGTGCGTGAAAGGTGCATGAAGATATCTGAATGTTGTATCTCTATCTCTGGCAAAGTGACAGACATGGACACGGACACGGGCCATTCATGGACGGACGGACGGACACTCGGGGATAACTCGTAGGGGGCGCCTACGAATTGCATCCCACTGAGTCAGAGTCAGAGACAGAGTCACAGTCAGAGAGTCAACGTCAGACAGTCAAAGTCTGAGAAACAGACATAAAGTCAGGAGAGTCGACGATTTAAATTCCAGTGTCGTCTCCATAGATGAGCTGTCATATGTGCAAATGACGATTGACAGCTGCCGCAGTCAGCATCCGTTTTTGCAGGCAGCGGCTCCTCCTATAACCAGTCTTAGTCCCAGTTCCAGCTATCAATTCCCCATTCCCAATCCCCTTTCCTGGGCTGGGCTGGTTACAAAACTTCTCTTTTTGTTTCGGTATACGTACGAGTACGAGTACTCACTCGTACCTGCGCGTCAATTCATTTGGGAATTTTGTGCGAGGTGCTAAAACGTGCCAAAACCACAATACAAATAAAGAACATTGGGTTTCCAGTTAAAACAAGACGTCGACATGAGCATGGACATGGACATGGGCGTTACCACTAATATCAGCGGGCGGCAGGAGCGGATTAGCATTAGCACAGACAGCGGGGGCCCAAAGTGGGCGGTTTGTTGGGAAATGAGCATACAATTATGATGTTCATTGGCTTTACTGGATTTATATTTAATTTGGGACTGAATATGGGCTGAATATGATACTCAAACTTCTTTAAGGTCTGTTGTACGGGCATATACATATGCATATATACAGATTTCCATGTCTATGGTTAATCTCTTGAGTTTCTAAATTTTAAATATTATTTTTATTAATATCTACTTTTATACGGCTAAAAATAATTTTAATTAATCCAATATACCTTTCAAAAACTTCTGTACGTCCTCGGATATCCAATTGTGTGTCAAATTGATTTCCTAAAATTTGTAGAGGATTTTCAATCGCTTTAGTCCAAAAGAAATACTTTAATTGATGTTTTAAAAAGATATCCCGCCCAAGAAACGAAAAACGGAGATCCATATCTGTTGGCGATAATATTTATACATTTCTAATAGATCTGACTATACATATTTGTGTATTACATAATTCCTATTCCTTCCCAATACTCTCCACCATCTCAAGTCCAGTCCGCTCCTGAGTATCCATTGCCTGAGTAGCGAAAAAAAAAAAACAAAACAAAAACCCAAAGCGAAAAACAAGAAAATCTAAATGGAAACGGCAGCAGACGACAAACCGGTATGACTAACAACCCCCGCCCGTAGCAGACCGACAAGCACCGCTGATAAGGGAAGACATTCAAGTACATAGCAGAGAGAGAGAGAGAGAGAGCGAAACAACCATACCCACAGCCGCCATGCATGAGCCACAAGCGAAGGCAGGACAACACTATGGTCAGAGTTGAAGGCGTGGCCTGTGCAATCGGTGTGGGTTGATTCCACGACCGAGACCAGACCGACCAGATGCGGGCCAGTACGACAGTCACGACTTGGTAAGCGCGCAGGCAGCACGTCGTCGTCGTTCGTGGTTGTGTTTCGATAGTGCTTCGGATAGAAGATATAGAAGAACCGTTAACTGCAACCGTCGCGTAATATTGCCGACTTGTTAGTGTGCTTCCCAGTGAAAGAGTGAAGTGAATTGTAGAGCATTGATAGAGAGAACACGGACTCCAGTCTTGAGGCTAGAGGCACAGAGAAGGAACTCCAGTCTTGAGGCTACAGGCACTGAGAACACTGACTCCAGTTGAGGCTAGGGGCAAGTGTGGTTCCTGCTTGACAATATGATGGACGTAAGCAGCATGTACGGCAATCATCCGCACCACCATCCACATCCACATGCCAATGCCTACGATGGTTATGGAGGCACCACCACCACAAGCAGCAACAGCAACAGCAGCAGCGTAACCGCCAGCAATGCCAGCAGCTACTTTGTCCCGCACCAGCATCAGCATCACTTGCAACACCAGCAGCAGTTGCAACAGCAACAATTGCAATTGCAACAGCAGCAGCAGCAGCATGCCCTCACGTACAATGGCTATGAGAGCAGCTCCCCCGGCAGCTATTATCCGCAGCAGCAGGCACAGCTGACGCTAACGCCACCGCCCCAAGCGGTGGTAGGAGGAGCAGTGGGCCACCAGGTGCAACAGACGCAGCCACAGCCGCCGCCACCGCAGCAACAGCAACAGCAGCTCTACCCCCACTCGCACCTGTTCAGCCCCAGTGCGGCGGAGTACGGGATCACGACGAGCACGGCCACCGGAAATCCGGGCACGCCTCTGCATCCCACAAGCCACTCGCCGGCGGACTCCTACTACGAAAGCGATTCGGTGCACTCCTACTATGCCACGGCCGCGGTAGCCACTGTGCCGCCGCCCACCAACAACTCACCTGTGACCGCGGCAAATGCCACCAATCCCCAACAGCAGCAGCAGCAGCAGCAACAGCAACAGCAACCGGGAATCGATGCCCATGCACATGCCCCTATTATCAGCTCCGAGAACGGAATGATGTACACCAATCTGGACTGCATGTACAATCCAGTGCAGGCGCAGGCGCAGGCCCAAGCCCAGGCTCATGGCTATGCCGGACAGATCGAGGAGAAGTATGCCGCCGTGCTGCATGCCAGCTACGGGCCGGGTTTGATACTGGAGGAGCAGGATCCCATGATGCAGCAGGCCACGCAGTCGCAGATGTGGCACCACCAGCAGCACTTGGCGGGGGGCTATGCCCTGGATGCCAGCCTATCGATGGACTCCCTGGGCATGCATGCGCACATGCATCATGGACTAGCCCACGGCCATTTGGCCAATCTTGCCACCAACACCCACCAGCAACACACACAGCTACAACAGCAGCAGCAGCAGCAACAGCAGCAACATGCGAATCCACAGCAACATCCACAGAATCAATCGCCGGTGACGCAGGCAACATCCCAACAGCAGCAGCAGCAACAACAGCAGCAGCAACATTCGGTGTCGCCCAATGGCGGGCTGTCGCGACACCAGCGCGGGGGTGTCATCTCACCTGGCAGCTCCACATCCTCATCGACAGCCTCCGCCTCGAATGGCACGCACACAGCGAGCGCACAATCAAAATCGCCAAATCACTCGGCCAGCATTCCCACCTACAAGTGGATGCAGCTCAAGCGGAATGTTCCCAAGCCACAAGGTGAGTTTAGGGACGGGAATTTGATTACAAATTAAGAAATGGCAAACCTAAAACTGAGTTGAACAAATCAAAGGAAAACTCCTCCCACTTCCCCGTTTCATAGCTACGAAACATTTCCAAAGTCTGCATAATTCTTACACCCACGAAACGCACTGTAAATCCCACACACACTGTCTAACAGAAGTATGACAACCGCTCATTAGGTATTTAAACCCCGGGGGCAATTTAAGAACTACATACTTGGCTAATTGCCACATTTCAGTTTTCCCGCCCCTCAGACGGACTGCGGAGAGAAGCCAACTCGAATGATTCGCTCAATAGATCACAGACCACAGAGCATAGGCAACAGCTAAATGAATATATTAAGCTAATCAAGCTGCTAACAATACAGAAACAGAAACAGACACAGACACAACTCAAACCCAAACGCAAACGGCTCTTAAAGGGTAGAAAATAAAATGAAATATAATTCAAAAATCATAAAACGATGACTTTCAAAACTGATTGACAGCTCAGATATACACGAAAACAGCAACAAGAGAAACAAAAAGAAGAACAAGAACAGCAGGAACAACAACAATAAGAAGAGGGGAAATAATATAGTGGAGCATTTGGAGCTTAAGATACCCTGTAATTGGAATTCTTATTTAATTTATTTATATTATTAACGATACAATGATCCAAATGTTAGCGTAAATATGGAATTCTAGAGATGAATGTAGAATAAACAACAAAGATCCTAAGTGGGATTCTACAAATACTGGGTATTCAGAACGAATCCTCCCAACATCTTCATCCAGCAGTAGAATTGCAACAACAGAGACAATAACTTTCTGGTGCGTCAGTCAGTCAGCGAGTCAAAAGAGACGTCCAACCGAGGGCATGTCATCTAAAAATAAGAATGTCTCTTCAAATGCCAAAGATTTCGCTTACCTCTTCTCTCCATCCAGAAAACCATCTCTCCCCCGGTACCACGCCTCTCCTCCGCTCATAATTTTAGCCGTTCTCTTGGCCTCTCCTTTTGGGCCGCGTTTTGGCATATTTCTTGCATATTTCAGATAATTTTGTCAATGCCTGTGCAGTCAGTCAGGTTGTCACTTGTCACATTTTGCCAGGCGGAGTTTTGTATCTGGGAATTAGCCAGCTAAGAGAATATATACTTAGTTTTCGTTGATAAACCACTTGAAAATAAAATGCATAATATACTCGTAAAAATATCAGATATATCATGTCATACATATATGTATATGAAATATTAAGTAACAGAAGCTGTGAAAAAACGAGTAATTTTATGAAGTGGTTAAGCCTATAATTGGTTGTGCGTTTATTCAGAAGAGAGGTCAAAGCAAATCAATTAAAATTGTTGTATTATATTCGAATTATTGCTCACCCTGAAATATTGTGGAATTATTTGCATTTGAATAGCATTTTATAAGGGAAATTTGAATATTTTAAAGCATATTTGAGGTCAAGCTACTGCAACTTCTCTTCTTCCTCTATGAGTGCTGCCAATATATTCTTGCATACACTCCCCTATTTCAGCCATAACCTGTTAACCCATTTGGGTTTGTCTGTGCGCTTATAATGCTCTTAACCTGTTCGTGACACAATGTTGCACAACTGACGCTGATCGGAGATATCGGAGTATCAAGCGTCCGTCCAACCACTTACAGTTCAAACGTTAATCCCTTGGCTACACCAATAATCATACAAATATTTGCTTATTAATGCTGAAAAGTGTCATTTACATGCATCGTTTTCAATTAAACGACGCCAGAGATCCCCAGAAAATCCCTCCCTCCCCCAAACCACAGCACAAAACGCGATCCGATCCGTACCGAACCGAACAGAACCGATCTGAGATCCCAGATCCCCACGCGCCGCACCCAAAACGAGACCCAAATACGTACCAAAAGGGCCCCACGAATGACGCGTGCAAGTGAAACGAGAGGCGCTTAGGAGAGGAGGGTCTGGAAGAGAAGGCTGCTGTGGCATGGGCACATGGAGATGGGGCTGGGGGCTGGGGCTGGGGCTGGGGGCAGAGGCGACCGCAAGTCAAACAAACAATTAAAGCGTGCAGCCAGAGTCCAACGAGTTGCAGCTCGAATCAAGAATGAAACTTGCAACGCAACGGCAACGGGGTGAGAGATGGATGCTGGGGAGAGAGGATGATGCCGCTGGTTCTCTCGGCATGCCGATCTGGAAGTCAAGTTGGCTGTCAGAAAAAATGATTATTTAAATAAGAGTTTCTCGTTTGAGCCTCACTGCAACCGAACTGTCACTGAGCAATGATCTGCCCACCGTCCGACGTCCCGCAACCAGCAGAGCTCCACCGCTGGAATCCCTGGATGCTGGGATGGGATGCTGGGATGCTGCATGCTGGATGCTGGAATGGTGCCTTGGTCTCTTGGATCGGATCCCCGATCTCTGGCTGTGAGCGCACATGCTTGGGTCCATCTGTCATGTCATCCATTTTCAGGCAGGGAAACAGCATAATCAGCAATCATGGTTATAAATGGTAGCATTCGACATATTGGCATTCACGCACTCAAGACAAACTCACACGTACTCGTGAATACATATATACTCGTACTCGTACTCATATATAGCTGGTGCTCGTATGTGCCCTGACCAGTCTTCTTTCAATTCAAAAGAGTTCTCTAATGTGTTAATCAGCATTTTTCAATAACCAGACCACGGGCACTGAAGATCAATTGTGGCGGGAAGGGAGCTACTCGGTTTGTTGTCTCTCTCTCTCTCTCTCTCCCATTGGGATAAAGATTAATGGCAATTTATACTGGGATTTGTCATTGACTAAAATGTAACCCAGGCATTGCTTGGCATATCCCAAGTCTAACGTATAGATTGGACAACTTTTTTTGTTGGGGGTAGACAAGATCAATCAATGTGCAAAACTCTCCAAATATTCAAGCGCTTCCTGACACGATTGTGATGACACCTAGATAAAACTAAAATTAGCAAAAATATATAGAAAGGAATCCTCAAGCAAAGGAGCGAAAACTTATCCATCATTTGGGTGTCAGGGTTGAAGTAGTTCACGTTCCATGAGAACTCCAAGTTTGTATGCGAAATGTGTTAGATTTTGCAGGGGAATATTTTAGGGTAGAATTTTAAATACTCTTAGATATAGATATTAGATCCCATTTTCTGCTGGATTTTTATACGCTTGGATACGGATAAAACTCCGCACAATATGTATCTAAGAGCGAAAATATTTTATTAGGTTTTCCCTTATTAAATTCCTTAAATATCTCCATATCAAATATATTATATTATTTGGAAGAATGGAAATGTCCCTTCAAGAGTTTTGTTACTCTAAAGCTCTTAATTCTTTTTCATATCGCATTAATTGCGCTTCCCAAGTATCTCCCCGACTTTTTTACCCCCTTTCTTCCCACTTTTAGCACCCACAATTTAACCACATATTTACGACTACGCCTCGTAATAATTTTGTTTACATTTATTAGCCTTTTGATGGGTTTCCAAAACAAACATAATTGAAAAGTTCCGAGAGAGCGAGGAGGAGGAGGAACCGGCCTTCTTGTGGCAGAACAATTTAATTAATGCCTGGCAAAATGGAAGTTCTGTTCGTGTTTTATTGTTTTTTAAACGATCTACCACTTTGTAGCTGTAGTTTTTTTATCCAGAGAACGGGGTGGGAGAAGGTCCACACGCGAGGTTACGAAAAAGAAAATATGAAATATGAAAAGAGCTGACAAAAGTGAAGGAAACTCGAATTAACATATTTGTTGGGAGTGGAGGAATGGGGAGACAGAGAAAACAGAGGAATAGAGAAAAACTTTTGGCCAAAAGGTTGCAAAAGGTGTTAGTTTTATGGGCCACTGAAGACGACCGGCGGTGGGAGGACCATTGGACAGGGGGGACGTACCTACGCTTGGGGTATTCAACATTTATTTGATGTGATGTTTTGATATTTCTTGACACCAACACGCGACCCAAAGAGCGACGAATGTGCCACAATGAAAACGAAATGAATTAATTACGTTCATTTCAAAACACACACCAAAAATTGGTAAGGTAAAAAATATACTCGCGTATGAAACACACACAAAACAAATGAGAACCCCACCCCGCACCAGAGCCAGAGGCAGGGGCAGACTATTTAAATGAAATGATATTGTGGATAGAAAAGTGACCACCAGGAATTCGAGATAAGATCAAACGCTTGCCCAAACCAAAACCAAAAACTGAGTCCCAACTGAGGCCAGACTTGAGCCGAGACACGAACCGACCCGACCCGCCCGCCTGTCTGTCACCGTCATCGTCAGAGCCGGGGTCGGTCCGTCACAGAGTTTGGGTTAGCCCGCTGACATAGAGATGGTAGCGTGAGTGGGTTAGAAGTGCTCCCTCCAAGTGGCGTACGATATACGAATGTTTGATATATGGGAAGATTTAGGGTACAATTCTGTGAAGCCACAATTTTCGGGGATATTTTGAGGATATATTATGCTGTGATGTGCTTCTCTTTTGAAGCGTATGCTTGTATGCTTAAGGGATGTGTATGCCTCTGTGCTCTTAGTCTTTAATTCCCCAATGCAAGTTATTTCTTCAGCTTAAGCGGATATAATGAATATAGTCCCACTCCATCATATCAATTCCTACCCAGTAGCAAATTTCTCTTCACAAAACCTCACGACTCACTCACGCTGCCATCTCTAAGCCGAAACCTACTCCAAACTCTACCAAAAAAAAAAACCATAACAAGCTGGACGAGACCAACACAAAAATGTATGGCATGTGTCGTGACAAATTTTGTTCGCTGGCGCGCGCTGAGTTAACATTTTTGAAAGCGTATTATTAAATTTCTTTCCCTCTGTCTCTTTTTGGGGTTTTCTCCACCTTTTTTTTAACTGGGGGTCAACGAGAAATCTAAGAACCTGAAGGAGCCGCCTAGCCTTGGCCTTTGACTCGCTTGGAATCGATTTGTTAGGTGATAAGCTTTGGGCAGTACTTACATT